CTTCTGCACTACTTCGTCCCAAATGCACTTTTTCTTCTTTTTCACTAGTCCTTTCGCCTGTTGTCTCTTGGCCCTGTACTTTTCCCAACTCTCCTCAAACGCCTTACTCAGGTACTGCTTGAAGACTTCTCTACGTTCCCCTACTTCTTTCAGCTCGTCATCCCACCACTTGACCGATACCTCACATCGCACCACCTTCTTTCCCACTACTCTCTCTGCCGTTGTGTTCACTATGGACTCCCACCCCTCAATCACCCTGTCCCCTCCTGCTTGTACGTCTACCTGTCCGTCTTTGATGCTTNTTCTTTCAGCTCGTCATCCCACCACTTAACCGATACCTCACATCGCACCACCTTCTTTCCCACTACTCTCTCTGCCGTTGTGTTCACTATGGACTCCCACCCCTCAATCACCCTGTCCCCTCCTGCTTGTACGTCTACCTGTCCGTCTTTGATGCTTCTCAGCAGTTTCCTGAAGGGTTCTACACTACCAGCCAGTCCCTTCTGGAATTCATCCCGTGTCCCCTCGTCTCCCAAACGCTCTACTTTCCACCGGAACACTTCCTGTGTTTCCTACTCTCCATCTTTCTAGATNATCACCCTGTCCCCTGCTGTCTGTACGTCTACCTGTCCGTCTTCGACGCTTCTCAGCAGTTTCCTGAAGGATTCTACACTACCAGCCAGCCCCTTCTGGAATTCATCCCGTGTCCCATCGTCTCCCAAACGCTCTACCTTCCACCGGAACACTTTCCTCTGTTTCTTACTCTTGATCTTTCTGGATCGGTCGATGTTTGCCCATATGAGGAAGTGGTCGGTCGAACCTATATCTATCGCACTTACGTGTAGCTCTGGGATCTGTGTGCTCCCCCTATCTACCAGGATGTAGTCGAGGATCGAGTATTCATTACATTCTGCCCGTTGCCTGGGGAACTCCGGCTTATCGCATTCCCTCCTACCGTTCAATACCATCAGCTCGTTGCTTCCCAAGAATTCAAGCATCCTCACTCCGTTGTCATTCACTCTGTCTTCTCCGTGCTGCCCGATCGCCTTTCCTCTACTGGAAGCTTTACTTACTCTGGAGTTGAAACCGCCCACCATGACAACTTCTCCCTTCCTACTGAACCTCTGGACAT